TCTACGGGTTTCGGACTGTGTTTCTACAGCCTTGATAAGCGAAGGAGAGCTTGGTTGGCTCACAGAGACTTGATTGACACTCTAATTTCTGGTTTAAGATGATTTCCTCAGCTGCTAGATTGAAAACATTTAATGTACTGGTGTGTTGTAGTTTTCTTCATTTCATGGGTTATTTTTGCAGGGACATTTTCATAAGAAGATAGACTTTTTTTAAGTTCTTGTTTTCTATATTCTTTTATCGCAATTTTGCTTGGACATAGGCTGGTTTTGTTCCATGGATTTGAAGTATTGGGTCGTCGGAAAAGTCATGATGTACTTTTGCATAGAAAACCAGAAAAAGACATCATGACTTTTCCGACGGCCCAATATTTTGCAAGATTCCTAGCATAAGGGGATCATTTTCTGTCAGTGTAGCCAGGGACCCTTTTTCTTTACCTTCTTATTTTGTGGTTATTTTGGGAGTAGGAGAGGTTGTGTGTCCTTCAATTTTTGCTTCCTTTTTTTTCCCCCCCTTGGAGGACCTGAAATTTCTTTCCTTTTCCTTCCTTCTTTTTTTGCCACCCAGTTTCCAATGGTGTTTCTCCCTTCCTCTATATCCTTTTCTCCCTGACCCAGTGCCTTTCAGTCTACCCCCTTGAATTAGGCACCACCCAAGTCCCCTCGTCATTGCCAGTGCTGTGACTTACAAGACCCTTGACAGTATTTGATACTTCAGGTTGACGTTCTTTGCAGTGATGGCGTCAAATCATTCTCTCACTCCCCCTTCTTTCTTCCTTACTGTTTTGCCAGGGCTTGTGACCCACATGTGACAGCTCTGCTGGGATCTGGAATTAATTTTTTAATTTTCTTATAGGTGATCTGAAGATTGTAGAATTCTCCATCTTCTAGTTACACCAAGAGAGAGGCTTTTGTGTCGGTTTACTCATTCTTCTGGATTGTGGGTAGTTTTCCATAATCCAAACCACCTCTTTCTAAATAGTACTTGGGCAAAATTAGGGAAACGTCTTATTTTCTTCAGGACTGTGGTCACCTTGGTGATGTAGAAATCTCTGAAGGACAGAAAGCTAATGCATTCTTTGCATATGTGAAAACTACTCAAAGACTGACTTATCTAGGACATAGATTTAGCTAAGAAATAGACTTTTAGGACCAAAAAAGAAAGAAAAAAAAAAACACATATTCAAGCATTTAATTTGAAAAGTTTAACTACACTTGAGTTTGTTGCTAAACTGAGTGCCATAGAATATAAAAATATATTAAACATTGCCTATTGCATTTTTAAAAGTGTGTTCATTTATTTATTCCTTGAGAGACCGAGGGAGAGAGAAAGAGAGAGAGACAGCAACCCTGACAGGGTCCTCATGCCGTGATTCATCCTCAGCCTCAGCCGGCCAAGATCACAGGCCTTTGTGTGTGCACCTGGCATGTACAGAGTAGCCTCGGGGTGCAAACCTGGGACTCTCCATTGTGGGTCCGGTTGCATAACCACTGCCCCACCATCTGGCTCCCATTACCTATGGCATGAAAATGCTTGCAGATCTGTCATTCGCCCAGTATCCCGAAACTATCCCCGTATTTGATGGACTCACGTGCTCTCCTGGTTACAGAGTTGATTTGAGAGGAGCCAGGAATAAAACATGTCCTGTGACTGAAAGGACAGTGCCTTTCCCAACACCAGCCATGCTTATTCAAAGAAGTTTTCACTTGCTCGATCTCTTTTCCAATTTTTTGTTGTCATTCAATCATCTTTGTAACCTATGGCCATTCCTTCATGACCAATTACATACGGGGGCGGGGGGCGGGGCATACTTTTTTGTGCTGTATTTGTGATCCATTTGCTCTGTGAGAACAATGTAGTTGTTCGTCCAGTTAAGTAGAAAACATTTTTGCCACTAATGAGTCACCTTCTTGTCTCTTTTCACAGAGGACAATTATGGGAAGGATGGGAAGGTTAATCTGTCCAGTCTTCCTGCAGACATCAACTGGCAAGGCTTAGAGGGTCTATACAGTGTGAACGAGAGCATCTATGAGTACAGACAAAACTATAGACTTAGTCTGGTTGACTGGACTAATTACTTGAAGGATGTAGATAGAGTATTTGCACTGCTGAACAGTCACTACGAGCAAAATAAAACTACGAGTGCTCCCAGTGATGTGTTCCCAGTTGTCTCTGCTGAGCTCTCTGTGCCAGTAGAGATGGCTTCTGCTGAGTCAGATGAAGACCCAGGTCGTATGATTGGGGAAGCACCTCATTTGACCTTGCCAGCCGACCTTCGAACCCTGCATTTGAATCGACCAATATTAAGTCCAGAGAATAAACTTGAATGGGATAACGACATTCCAGAAGTTAATCATTTGAATTCTGAACACTGGAGAAATCATAAAACTGACATGTGGATGGGGCGTGAAGAGCTCAGTCATCTTGGAACCGATCTCAGTGGCAATGGTATGACAGAGCTGGTGCTTAAGCACGGCCCCGGGCTGCAGGCCATCAGCAGGCATCAGGAAGAGCTTCCCCAAGACGGCGAGCCAGGAGAGGATGTTTTTGAAGAGCAGCTATATCTCCCTGTGCATGCTAAGAGAACCTCTGTCCATCAGACATTCAACGCGTCCACTGAGGAGCCACCTGTTAATTCCAACATCACCGAGATGTTGACCAAAGTGGAGAAGAATTACAACAGGGAGACTATGCAGCATCTAGAAGGCAGTGCCTCCTCTCCACTCCCCTCTGATTAGGAGAAAATGTTACCTTACCCTAAACACAGTATTTCTTTTTAACTTTGTATTAGTGAGCTAATAAGGGCAATCATAGCTACCAACATTTCAAGCTCCCACCACCCCCCCCCGCCGGTCATTTGTGCAGAAGTTAACGCGTGTGTGAGCGAGCAATGTGCACACAAGGGTTCCTTGTTGTAAGTCATTATTTGCCAAGGGTAGAAAAGAAGTTTGGATTTTATTTGTTTGTTTGTTTTGTTTGGAGGTTTTGTTTTGTTTTGGTTTGGTTTTGGGTACTAAGACAGTATTATCTTTTAAACATTGTAGGGACATGCATCTATAAATGTTACCCAATCAAGATGGCTAGACTCATGCCTTTTCTACGTTCCTAAAACTTGATCCCCTTGGTAAATTTCTCACCGTGCCGCCACTCGCTGCATAATGAAGTTCTGATTCATTTTGAACCACTGGAATTTTTCAATGCCATCCTTTTTTCATTCAATGATTTTGCACTTTGAGATTGGAATGCCATGTCTATTTGGTTAGTCTGCGCGTTGGTATTAGGATCAGTTTACAGGCTTAGTACCATCTCACCGCTTGCTCTCAGGGTGAGAGTCAACTAGGCCTCCGAGGACGACACACAGTATGGATGACATATTGTTGAACATACACTTCTTCCAGGAAAGATTGCATGTGTTTTACTTTGACTTGCTAAACTTGATTAGCAGAAAGGCATGGCTAATAATGTTGGTAGTAAAACATAAATAAACAAATGAAACAAAGGTTGCCGGCTCTCTCTGTGCCTACCCTCAAAGTATTCACCGTATGCTTCAGATTGCTCCATTTTGCTTATTTTCTCGACAGGAGTAAAAGGACTGAAGACCTTTTATTTTAATCTTTATTTTGTTTTCTTGACCTGGATAATAAGCTTAAGTGTTGAGGAAATATGTTTAGCTTTGAATTTATATAAGGTATTTTATTCATAAACTAAAATTATGAATGTTTCATAATTTAAACACATCTTAAAAGAGGCTAATGTCTTAACATTGTGTTACATGATCAGTTTTAAGGCCTTGACCAAGTTCTTGTTTTTATTTTTAAGATGTAATTCAAAATTGCTTTTTAAAATCTGTATTCTTTGACATGTTCTTGTTTTGTATTAGATTTTCAAATACCAGCAAAAGGGTTACCTCATTGGGACAGTCATTGGTACCCTGTTCAACTTCCAAGATTTTTGTCTAACTTAACCATGCCTTCCTTTTCATTTTTAGATAATTCAAACACTTAGGTAAATTCTGTTTTCTTTAAGTGTTTAAGGTAAACTTGTTTGAAAGAAAATTTAATATGTTATAGTTGACTCTTCGGTAACTTTAAGTCATTATCGTAGTCTCTGTACATATGTTAAAGTCAACTAGCTCTCTATCAGATGTGTGTGTCATTGGCTGAATGACAGAATAAACATATTTATGGTCATGAATGATGTGCTTTGTAAAAAAATGTTCACGTTATTAGGAAGCGTACTGTGTTTTTCTAATCTTGTATAATATTCTGTGATACTTTTATAGAACAATTCTGGCTTCAGGAAAGCCTAGAAGCAATATTTCTTGAAATAAAAGGAGTTTAAACTTTACCTGCTTCAGAGAAATGGACTTACCCAAGTTGTAGTACACTCATTCCGTGCAAGTAAACTTGAGTCCTGGTCTCAACCTACCTGACCGAGAGTATTAGCCAGACTTGTAAAACTGACCTGAAGTCGGTACAGTAGAGGGCATTCTCAGATTCATGATTTCAGTGTGGTTTTGCCTCATTGCTGTCAGAAAAATGTGACAGAGGTGGCACCAGGTGGCTTCCTGGACACAGTCTGGACAGTTGCAGAGGGCCCATGAATGACTTGATGCTGTCCTATCACCAATATGGGGTACTTGTACAAGGGACCCCATGTTTCCATGTTCCACTGGGCTTCACAAATTATGTGGCTAGTCCTGGATAGCACAAACAGAATTTTCAAAAGCAAGGTGACAGATCCACCCAAGGCAGTTGGGGCTCTTTGGGGGCCATAAGCCTTGTGAAAACCGAAGTATTCTCCAAGACCTCAAGTTTCTTGGTCAACAAACCCAATGTGCTTTGATCGTTTCAATTCTCTTGAGAAGATTTAGCCTTCAAATAAAGAGAGAACATTCTGAAATGTCCAGAGTTCAGACAGTTAAAACTAAAGAAGAGACAATAGGGGCCAGCAGGTGGTGTAGTGGTTAAGGTGCTGGACTCCCACCTGGTCAACTGCAGTTTCAGTCCCAGACCCAGCTTGAAACTCACACCGGGTGCGTGTGCGTGCTTGCCCAAAATCCCAAAAAGAGAATGGAAGAGAAGAGATGGCACCGTGGTCATCCCCCCCCCCGGGGGGGGTAGTGATTTCTCACTTTCTGTGTCTCTGTTGCTCTCTGTCTCTCAGGCAAGCGCAGCACGTTATAGCGAAAATCTCTCAAAACAAACCAAAAAAAGCAAAGGACCTGGCACCTACCAGTTCACTCCTTGGATAACTGGGAAGTATCATCTCATTACGAGAGCAGAGACTGGGCCAGCTCATGGCATGGGGTGAAGGCAGCCACATCCCACATGGCCAACTCAGCCTGAGAAGCCTGCCGGGCACATGTGTGCATGCCAAAAATCTCAAAAGGAGGGAGAAATGGAGGAGAAGGGATCACACGTGACCATTCCCCATAGCGGGGGCAGTGCTCTCTCGATTTCCCCCTCTCTCAATGTTTCTGTTGAGCGCGCATGCCTTCTGGCAAAGTTTTTAAAAATAAATAAAAATTTAAAAGGAGAGAACACGGATCAAGATGACAGTGTTATCTAAAGATGCATCTTCATGTCTTGCTTCTTGTTTTGTTTCCTATGAACTGCAGTTGGGCGAGATGTTTCTGTCTTTGAGAAAATTCTGTTTTAGTTCCATTCGGAAACTGGAGTACCCAGAATGTGTCAGGCATGAGAGACTCTACACAGGGTATTCAAAAAGTTCACGGGGAATGCTTATTATGAAAGAACGATGCAGGGGTTTCAAGACTTTTTGCACCGAAGTGAACTTAGACTTTCATTCCATTTTTCCACAAAGTTTTTGAAGTTCCTTGAGTGGCTCCCAAGGCTGAATTACAAAGCTTAAAGGACTCTTACAGACTGCTGGCCACCTGGCCTTCTCAGATCCGTGTTGGACGCTGACTCCTGGAGGAGGCGAGCGGGCTTCCCAGCAGCCCAGTCTCCTTCCTCAGATTCAGAAGAGGAAAAGATGTAGCCGCTCTTCACACTCTCCACTTAAACACTCATGCACACACACATGCAGGCACAAAAGTATGCACACACACACACACACACACACACACACACAGGGGCTCCATTCGGTAAAGAGCAGTGGGGGAGAACAATGGCTGTGACATGCAAGAAGATCTACGTTAACTTCAAACTTGAATTTTTAATCTGTGGGTGCTTGGAAAGGTCACATAAGCCTCGTTAAAGCAGCTTCCTTGCCTGTAAAAGAAAGAGGTTTGGGTCAGGGGTGGCTCATGCGTAGCACATTCTCTTCCGTCTCCCAGAGTGTACCCAGGGAAGACCTTGCAAGCGCATCAGGACGCTTCTGTAAGCCGGAGCCTCTGTGGCCATAGGCGCCTTCTCACACAGCCAGCTACGTCTCCAGCATCTTCCCTGTGGAACTGCTGTTGGCCCGAGAGACAAAAGCCTGTGATACCCGAACCAGATCATCTTGGAGGGCCCTGCTGGCTAAAAAAAAAAAAAAAAAAAGCTCCATGATCACTAACATCTGCAGGGTTTTTGTTTTAGAGAGAAAGACTGAATACTAAACATTCCACCCTTTGCCAAACCATCTGAATAAGCTGTCTTATTTTATTTTCTTACTTTGCCAGAAGGTGCATAGCTTGCCAGAAAGAGAGAGAAAGCACCTCCCCTATGGGGGACAGTCACGCTGCAATCCTTTCTCCATCTCGTCCTCCTTTCAGGACTTTGGGCATGCATGCACACACTCCCAGTGAGTTCCTCAAGCCACCAGATAGGGACTCACACCACATCTGCCTTCACCGCCATGCAACCAGCTGGCCCAATTTCAGGCTTTTCTCTCTCCTGCCCCTCCCTGCCCCATCCTGTCCAGTCTCTGGTAGGCACATGCCAACTCTGGGGAAGAAAAACCCTAGGGCAGTTAGGCAATCAGTGTGTCAGCACCTGAGTCTCTTAGGCCCTCACAAGGTCTTATTTAAGCTGCTGGGGAAGCTGCACTCCCCTAGGCCTCTTTCATACACCCGGCCTCTCTCAACTCTCGGCAAGTCCCACACTGCAGACAAGATCCCTTGTCCACAGCTGAGGCTCCGATCTCGCTGCCTGTTGAGAAAAGCTTCAGTGCTGCTTCTTGCCAGAGAGAGACAGAGACAAGAGAGGGAGAGTGAGAAATCACTCTCCCAGGGGAAATGGCCATACCACAATCCCTTCTCCCCCAGTTTTATCTTGGGGTGTGGGGCATGCACACACACACTCCTGGCATGTTTTTCAAACCTCCAGGTCTGAGGCTCAAACCAAGGAGTCAGCCACATGGGATCCAGCCACCTGAGCTTCCACACATGGCTCGCCCAGCTTCGGTGCTTTTGAACGTCCTCTTTGTAGACTCAGATTTCCCCTAGCTTTCCTTCTGTTTGTAACATCTACCCCTGTATTCCATCTCAACTGGATAAATCTTACCAGTCCTCCCATCCTCAATATATTGTTTCAAATGTTTTCTTTTTTTTTTTTTTTTTTTTTTTTTTTTTTTTGCTATAGGGTGCCTGCACTAGCCAGACAGACAGAGACCGAGAGACAGAAAGCCAGAAATCAACCCCCACGGGGGACGGCCATGCCGCAATCTCTTCTCTTCCATTCTCCTCTTGGGATCTTGGGCATGTACGCACACGTGCCCAGCGTGAGTTTAAGCCACCGGGTCCAGGACTCGAATTGCGGTCAACTACGTGGGAGTCCAGCGACATAGCCATTATGCTAACTGCTGGTCCCACCTTTTCCTTTCCTGTAGTCTTTCCTGCACTCCCCCAACCCTGGACATGGCATCTCTTCCCTAAGTAGGAGAACACTGACTTTTTTTTTTTTTAGAGGTTTTTGGTATATGGTGTGTGTGTGCTCGCCGGAAAGACAGAGAGAGACAGAGAGACAGAAAGCGAGAAATCACCCCCCCCCAGGGGGGATGGCCACGCCGCAATCCCTTCTCCTCCATTCTCCTCTCGGGATCCTGGGCACGCATGCACATGCGCCCAATGTGAGTTTGAGCCACTGGGTCCGAGACTCAAACCACGGTCGATTCACTGTCAACTACATGAGAGTCCAGCAACATAGCCATTATGCTAACTGCTGGTCCCATCACTGACGTTTTCAAGTCTGGGGCCAATGGAGTGTGCATAACTGGCCACGCTCGTAAGATAACCTCGCTCCTTCCCCATTTCTGACCAAGCTGACTCTGGAGGGGCCTGGTTTGTTTTGGCCTGGTTGACTCACCTTTCTCTGCGGCTGAGGACTCTGCTGGCCGTGGGCCTCGCAGCGAGTCCATGCTGCAGAAAGTAGAAGGGAAGCCCGAAAACCCAAGCTTTCCTGTTGGGACTGAGGCGTCCCTGGGCCCCGGCGTTGAGGAAAGAACTCCAGAAGGGTGGAACTTTACCGATTGAACAAACGAGCCCACACAAGTGCATGTGGGGGGCTTTTCTGCTGAGCGTGTCTGCTCACCTGACAATGGCAGCAGGAGTGACAGCACGGCCCTCTGTCTGAATTTTCTCGGGTCCAAAATCTGCATCCTTCACACTCCTCCCTTCCCCATGGTCCCCACTCCCAGTCCTGACAGGGCAGGTGACCCAGAGCAAGGGTAGCTCCAACCCAGCTTCCAGCCCGGATCAGCTGCAGTATCATATCACCACGAGCCCCACCTAACCTCCAGAAGGCCCCTATTAGCTGAGCTTGTGTTTTCCATGATGACCACTAGGTGTCACTCTAGTGCAACTAAAGACATCTCTGCTAGGCGCTGAGGCCTGCAAAGGCCAAACCATATCTTGCATTGATTTCTCAAGTAGCAAGCCTCCTCCCTAGCTATCATTTTTGACAAGAACACATCCAGAACAATTTGATCCATGGCAGGCTCGCTCGTTCGCTCTTTAGTGCCTTGGAACTTAGCAGGCCAAAGAACAGCGTTAGCTTTCTACTGATTTATGTGGATATTATAAGCTGGAACTGCACCAGACTTTGACATTTAAATTCAAAAGTGAGCCCCGAGTATTGATCTCCCTGCTTTCCAATGACTTTGTACAATTAAAAATGTTTTTTGGCTCTCATACGCTGAAGCCACAGAGGCCATCTCTGCCCAGCTGGCAATTTTAAAAAGAAGAAAGGAACTGGATGCTTTTCATCCGCTCTTAAAACACTGAGTGTACCAAGTCTGACGCTAAAACAGGAAAGATAAGTGACCACATTCGTCACCTCTCTTGTCTCATTTCTTAAAGAAGAACATTTTTCCTTTTTACACATTATTTTTTAACTTCTAAAAATTGTTCGAAGGTGCATGCACTCACCAGAAAGAGACGAAGAGAGGGGGAGGAGAAAGCA